TATATGTTTTATATTAAGTCTTTCACTGAAAACGGTTCAAGCATTGGATACGCAGTTTTATCTCATAAAAAATTTTCAAATTCCAACTGAGTTTCAGCATAAAAAGCTCAAATTCCGTTTATGAGGATATTTCGGATGATATATTTACTTGAGCATGTTCGAATTAATTTGTAAATATTGATTTTACCATGTTTTACTCTAGATAACTTTTGTGCGGGAAAATAACAGAACTTCGCCGAGGAAGTTAACCTCAATCTACAGCGCGGCTAAAAGAAAAATCCCCAAATCATTATCCGAGTGCTTCAACCCATATTAAAGCGATAACATTTTGAGCATCGCTGGTAAGATGTTAAGCATGGCCAACGCAAAAAAAAAACACCTAGAATGGCTTTAATAATCCCAAGCGCATTCCAACCTAGTAGTTCTACGGCGATCCCTGTGAAAGACTGAATGGAAGTGGGAGGGGGTGCTTAAAGTAAGACTAATAACTTGCAAGCAGCAGATATGTTCATATATGAGGTGTGCCGCTTGAAAACGTGCCACGAATACGTAAAGAGACGCGTCTTACAGTTGCACTGTGGCGCCATCGCCTACTTAAGTGCCCCCCCGGCGTCTAAGAACCCGAGAGAAGTAACACGCCTAGTGATATACCCGTTGTTTATATACTATATAACGTTCAATCTTAACATTAAAAACTGTCAAAAAGAAACAGGATACCAAACTGATTCTATTTGTCGTAGAATATACCATAATTAACCCACTGACGTACGTAAAATTGGTTTGTTAGCGTGTTGGACGATGCTCACAAAATAAAACTTTTATCGTCACGGTCTTACCTCACAAACGTAACAGTCCACGTGGTAATCGTTTTGCATCGCCACCACTCTGACCGTCTCTTCTGTGTCCTATAAAACTTCAAAATCTTACAGAAGAAACAATGCCAAAAAATCTGACGTAGTTCCAGCACATTTCTTCGGCTTTAAAACGAACTGCTCGTACTCAATGAGTGTTGGTATAGCAGGGGACTTGAAGTGCGAGTTTTGATGTTAATACTATATCTTCGGCCAAACAGAAGCCAACATACTAAGCCTGATCATGACCAGCGTTTTCTTGGTATAAACGCTGGCAGTAAACTAAAGACAAACGGAAAACGGGGTTCACTGGTCAGGTTGAAATGTAGTGGGGGAAATGGTCGTGTTCACTAATGATGGAAAATTTGAGGAAAGGATCGACCGGCAGATTGGAGTAGCCAGTAGCGTTCTGTATGAACTAGCCCGGACCACTGTGACTAAAGCAGAGCTGCGTTTGAAGATTAAGCTCTCGATACTCATTCCCATGTTCACCTACGGTCATGAGTCCTGGACCACCACTGAAAAACTTCGATCCCGGGTGCAAGCGGCTGAAATGGGCTTTCTGAGACGAGTCGCTGGCCTTACGAGTCTCGACATGGTTCGGAGTACAGAAATTCGCGAAAGCTTGGATATACAACCGCTGCTTGTACAGACTGGAGAAGTCACAGCTGCGAGGGCTTGGGCACTTGCCTCGAATGCCTCCAGAAAGAAACTATAAGCCATGATACGGCCGTGCTTAACCAGGTGCAACTATCTCTAAGAAGTCAGCCCTAGATTCCGTTGTCTTTTGCCGAAGCGTAGATGCTGGCACAGAATTGGGAAGGCTGGAAGCACTGTGTGCTGTGAGGTGTCTGCCTTCGCCACCCAAAATGATAAACGATTATGGGAATTGACTAATGATTAAGCAAATGAACGACTGAAACCATCGGCCACCTCTTGAGTTTTTAACTCTCGTATGCTAGCAACTGATTTTAGACACAGAAGGATCAAGCATCTCTATTATATGCCCACAATCACAAATCCTAACTAGTCTCATCCTCCAATAATTTACCATTCCAACTTTAATTGAGGAATACCGGGACTAATGTACTTAAATTTAGTGTCGATATGAAAATGAGAAATAAACTAGGAGCTTCAAGATAGAAGTCAGAAAGACGAGTGAAAACGTCAACATCGTCTGGAGGCGGGACATTATCATTGAAAAGTCATGAATGAATGAATATTTTACTACTTGAATGCAATTACCGACGATTCTGAGTTTCCGGTGTAGAGAAGCAGAGGTCGCAAAGCACGAAAAATAGACATTCTCATTAACTGCAGGGCCTTTATGAAGAAATAAACAACATGAACACGAAAGGATGTAGGAGGTACAAGATTAGCATCGCTAAAGAAGGTGAAATTGACGCAGGACAGATAAAAAGCGACTGAGTACATTTGACCGCACGGAAATGTGGAAGCCTGTAGCGTTGTTATGAATTTTACTGAAACGCAGCAAGCTGAGCTGTTATTGATTTTATTTTTACTGGTTGACAACACGGAGTACAATCGACCTCTTGAAGTGAAAGAAATTAAAACCATAATCCTTGAAGCTGCATGCATACGCATATTGTCCTATTCTTGAACAGTGGTGAAAGTTTTGTGTCCATTTGCACATTCAAGCAAATTTGCTACTTCTGTAACTACTAGACGTTGTTTAATTCGTCGAAGGCCATCGTCGATGCTTTTTTTATCTATCACTTGATATTAGTTAGCCGAAGTACAACCTGATTCCGAAACTTGCTCCAGACGTTTTTCTACAGCTATTTTCTTTGCACATTCTCGAGATGCCGATTTTCCCATATAAAAGTTTAGTCGCCATTCCAAAACGAACTGACACAGCTCTTGCGACACTTCATGAAAAAAAGGACAGTTTCTAACCGTTAAGATGTCGGTCTCGTTTTTGTTTCCACAGGTGAGCAGAAAGCAGTAGCACCTTTCTTTGAGCTTAAGGTGAGGCGCTCATCTCCGTCTTAATGCCATCATCCGTAACCGCCCAATTTTAAAGGCAATGTCTACATCAACATGCCTGCGCCCTCATGTTTCGCACCGCGTGGTACTCATTTATCCATCTAAGAAGGAAGCCGACCAAGGCTTGAATTCAACGCTCTGTCGACGGAACAATTCCGCTTCAAGAAAAGGACAACTTTTAAGAAAGAAAAAAGTGAATTGGGGCACCGAAAATATGAACATGTCTATCAAAGTAGATACCAATGATCGACAAAGACGACAAAATGAGGAAACACAGAATTCTCCCATTATCGAGGTCGAGTGAACAAACAAATTACCAAAGGAGGGACAGTTACGGAAGAAAAGGCATTACGAAAAGTGGAAATAGCATTCGGATCAGCGCATCATCACATCGTAACGGAATTTCGTGGTACAGAAACCACAGTTGTCGCCACACCAACGCATACGAAAGGGCATTATGCGAAATGCTATCATGCAGGTCACGAACAACACCCTGAACCAGGGCAGGGGGCTAGAATGACTCAAACATGAATTAGTCTGCTAAAGAGTTTGGAAGGGTTGAAAAAAACACAGTCCGATTAACGTCCCGGTCAACGCAAAGCCCATTGGGACGCGCTGAACATAACTGTTGGGATGACCTTGATGTAACCGCTGCCTGACGAATTATGCTGCATTCGCGAGTATCACCAATTTGTTTGAAAAATGCCGAAAGTTCCAGTCGACATATAGTTTCAACCGCCTGGTATTCCACTGCATTGCAGTGCCAGACGCCTTGCTTACCACTGCGTGTTCTCTGGAACAAGTTCATGCCCATCATGAACAACGTTTCAAAAACCGGGCGTCCACATATGCTACCGTATAAACATAAATGTTTGCTCATAAGCCAAACTGATATTAACTAGCGGATAACACCCAAAGATCACATTTTACGGCACATGCGTCGTTGTGTGATTACTATTAAAAGTAAACTTTTGATTCGATCACTGCGCCATTCGCGATACGCAGCTACTTTGCAACATACGGGCGCACCGTGTTACGGCAAGGAATGAAAAACATCACCTAGCACGAGCAAATCTTATCCAGAAAATCAAGGGCATGTGGCCCGTTCGTGGATCGAGCTAGCTGTTCTCATCACGGCGTCAGATTAAATATCAGCGACAAATCGAAAGGAAATGTTTAAAAGGCTTCCATGTTTCACGAATACCACGGCGCCATCGGTCAGGACGGATTAGCAACAACAAAATATGCCTGTTGTACTGCTGAACAAAAGCTGACTTGAGTACGGTCCCAAATTTAAACGTATTAACTTAATAAACGTGGCACCTTACTAGTCGAATAATAAAATTTCACTAACTTCTTTATGAATGACAATGAATGACAGTTTTGTTGTGTACAGAACCTATAATGTTCCAATAATGTAGGTCTGTCTTCAGAAAGTAAAATAATAAAAAACTGTTTGATCTCACCCCATGAAAAAGGATCAGGTATGATCCGAAACGTCCGAGATTCTTCACGCAGCAAACTTGTCATACGGTACCATTCAGTAAAAGATTCCTGTAATTTTCAATTAGATTCTCATAAAAGATACAAGCTGTATCCTTAAAAAAATGTCCTATATCAGTACGCTTTATTATACGTGTAAAGAGAAGACTACAAAATGAAAAGAAATGGAACCTGTGCTTAAGGTGGTTACGGTCAACATTACTGAGGTTAGTCACAGCAACAGGTATGTGCGTTCAAAGCACAACCGAGTCACTCGCCTCTCGTCCTATCGGTGAGGATAAACGAATTTCACCTTGTGGGAAAAGAAACACAAGTCTACGCGCTATACTTTCCGCCACGTAACTGTAGACCCTGTCTTCGAAATAAAGTATCGCTGGTTAGTGTCAAAGAAACGGAGATCACTGTTGAACCGTATAAGCTCCATGAACGGAGGAACGTCAAAACGGTGCCCATCATACAAATGCAATGGAGACGAACATCAGAACGG